GAAGTTCTCATCCACACCCATGAAGCGAGAGCTCAAAAGCGACTCGGAATCATCCACCCGGAAGTTGCACTCGTTCCTGTACGTTACTGAAGCATAGAAGCGGCCCACGGGAATTTCCAAGTCGCCAAACACGTAGTCGGTCACGACATCCGGGCGGCCGTCATACAGCGGATGCCGAAGCCGGTCGATGCCATCACTCTCTGGCTCGCCGGTTCGAATGCGACACCGCGGCTCTAGCGACGGGTGAACGCCCTTGCCTAGCGAGTGTTGCGAGAATTTCCAAACTGGAAGAATTCTTGCCGCAGCGTAGAGCGAACGGAAGAAGACAATGCTCTTCTTGTAAATGGTAGGTAACGTTGGACCAAAGTCATCAAGATCGTTGGTGGGTATCGTTTTCAACTCGATGCGCCATCTCTCCAAGATGACTTCTGTATTCCTCTTGGCAGGCGTGGGACGACCGTCGTCACTCGAGTCGGACGAATTTAAAGCCTCCATAACATCCCATCTCTTCCCATTTTCGTCGACAATAACCAGACTCTGGCTAGGGGTCAGGCGCGAAGTGTCGAGGTATGTCTCAATAATCAGAGGCGGTGGTGTATTCTCGAAGCCGCCGCAACTCCTCCAGATGCGCAGCTCGTCTTTGAAGTCGTCGAACTCTTCGGTCTCAATTTGAAACTGCGAGAAACACGAAATCAGCATGTCTTGACCCATGACAAACATATTACCACAGTGACTCACCCATTTGTTCAGCTTCTTGCTCCCAGGCCCGCGAGTGTGGTATGCTGGCTTCAGATCTATACGCGATTGGAGGACGACTGAAGCGGCCTTGGTGTGGAAGTTCTACCCAAAGTTAGCTTCCTTGCATAGGCCACTGTCTCCCCGCGCCCTGCCTACCTGGATGATCTGGTCCAATTTCTTGACGGCGTCGGCCGGAGGACCAGCACCCGGAGGAGTTTCGGCGGTCGAGGAGCTGGCAACGGCAGATTCTCGGCCAGAGGTTTCGGACGATGCTCTTGCGCGAGGACCTAATGATGCTTCTCTCGGGTTGTTCGTTCGGGACGGGTTCGTTTGAGGAGAGGAAGCGGGGGAGGAGACCCGCGGGGCGGGTCGAGCTTGTTGATGCATTTTGCTTGGGGTTGTGCGGCCCCGAAGGGCAAGGAAGGGTGGATAATGATCTGTGAAGCCGACAGACACCTGGGTAGTTGTCGACGCAATGCTGGAAGCGCGATACAGGTGCGCGAGGTGGTTCTAGACGAGGAGCGGAAGGGTATTCTTGGTGTCGACGTGGAGGCGGTACTGGACCTGCTCATCCATCCTACATCACAGCTTAACGTCGTTGGATGTCTCGAGAAGCCTCAATTTCGAAGCAGTCGGCGAGGGAGAGAGGGGCGAGTCGAGGGAGCGGGATGCGATGCGGCGAAAGGTCTCCAGCGGAACCCTTGGAGAGGGCGGGCGCGGCGCGGCGAGGCAGGCAACGGCGAGCAGGGCAACGTGAACGTGAGGACTCGAAGTAGATCGAGACGAAGGATTAGACGCCGGGGTTGTTGTTGGGTTGCCGCACGAGCAGGCCAAGGGGTAGCAGGCAGAGCTGCAGGGCGAAATGGACAGAGACGAGCTATGTTAGGCGGCCGTGGCTTCGACCATGGCTTTCGGTTGCCTGAGGTAAGCTTCGACGGCTTTGCAGAAACCGGGGACCTCCTCCCAAGCACGTCCTCCAACAACGACAACAACAACAACAACAAGAAAGCGAACGTCGCACAGATGGGATGGACGGTGACTTTCGCAAGCAGGTTGTTAAAGAACAGTGAGGGTCGATATGCAGAGAGCTGGCGACGCAGTGGTTGTCGAGACGGAGTCTATCGGTGCAGGTGTCATACGCTCAATGGTTGGGAGTAGTGATGAGCCTCGTGATCGTGGACAGGTACCGTTCCGTCATCGAGTCACCTGCTGGGGCTGGGGGGTTTCAAGCGAGTACTCAAGATCAAGTGAGAGCGGTGTGCTTGAGATAGGTTCGTAATGAGCCCGGAAATGCAAAGGACGGGCAAACAAGAAACAGGCAAAGATCAGACGGTATATGCTAGCTCGAGCAGAGAGAGAGACTCTGAGAGTGAGGATGAGGAAGAGAGGGCGAGAAGTAGCGATGTACTACACTACTGGGCAAGGACAAAACTGGGAGACCAAGTCAACAAAAAGAACAAAAAACGACAAGGCGTGACCAGAAGGGCACGGGAATCGGAATTGATGATGCAGAGCGACGGAATGAAGGGGAACAGGCAAAACAAAGGGTTTTTTTTTTTTTTTTTTGGCTGAATGATGCAGAAGCCGGTAGATAGAACAGACAGCAGAGAGAGCAGATGGGGAAGGGAGTGAGAAGGTCAAGAAGAGATGGGGAGCCAAAGTGAAGGAGAGGATGACATGGATGTCTCTGGGTTCCTGGCTTGGAGCTTGACAAGGTTCAGTTAGACTGGGCGAGCAAGCAAGCCAGCAGCAGCACGGCGCGACGACCAGAGAGGTGGTGATGAGCGAATGCGTGCGTGCCTCTCCCTCCAAGGTGTCTACCTACCTACCTACCTACCTCCTTAGGGACCGGGACTGCGACTGTGACTGTGACTGGGGGGGAGGGAGGGGGGGGTTTGTTGCCGCTGCACTGGTGCTCTAACAAGCATCCGTGGGCCACGGACCATGCACCGAGGCAGGTGTGGAGACGGGGAAGGGGACGAGCCTCCACGTCGTGGTCCAGTCCAGTGTTGGTATCCGTATGAGTCCCGGTCCACAGCCAGCGCGTGCAGGTGCCGGTGCAGGCAGAGGCGAGGCAGGCAGGTACCTACCTACCTTAGATACCTAGCGATGAGATGGGACGGCGATGGAGACGGGAGGGGTTGCACTGTCTCTATCTTTCTGTCTGTCCTTCTGTCCTTCTATCCTCACTATCTCTCATCTTCCCCCCTCTCTCTGCCGGTATGAGTTTCGCAACATCGGGCCAAGACTGCGAGGTTGACGTGCCCTTTGGAGTCATCCTGCAAGCCTAATCAACAAGACTCACCATCGGCAACACCTGCAGTCACTGTCATGCCATCCACGATCCCCGATACGGCCGCCCCAAATCCACCTTGCTTGGCTTGCCGCTGATTGCTTCCGCTATGCGTCCGAGGCAAGGGGGAGACCACTGGACCAGACCGGGGACACTGACAGTGTGTCTTGGACCACCCCGGACCTCACAATGGCCTCGCCCTCAAGTTCTCAACCCCAGCGTGGAGCCTGAGCCTGAGCCTGAGCCTGGCCTGAGCCGCACCTCATCGCCTCAGTCTCTCAAGTATTCTTGTTGGCTGCACCGCATCGCCGCATGGCACGGCGCACAACACGCAACCTAATGCTCCGCTGCTCCCTACGCAGTACCTTACACTACCTACCTCACCACTGAACCCGCAGTGATACTTCATGCATGCACTCTGAGGCGAGCCTCCCCAAGCAAGCCAAGGTATCCGTAGTTGGGTACCGCATCCTCGACTGCCAGCTGACAACCAGCACGACGATACCGGACAGGGTTATCCACGGCAACGCACTCCAACGTATCTCGGCCCATCTTTGAGGACATCGGCACCCTTGCCTCATGCCTTGATGTCCTGCTTCTTCCACTTTCCCCTGATAGCCCCGTTCTCTGCGGCTGACTTGCCTCGACCCCTGTGACATGACGGCCAGCAAGGTCGTCGTCGTCCGCAGTCCACCATTGACCATCATCAGCAACAACAAGAACAGCCACAAAAACGTCAGGCAGCACGCAGGGTCCAAGAAGGCTGTTGATACGACTCGCCTCAGACGCCATCTATGGCCTAAACGATACCACCGCCCGCCGGCCCTCGGTTGATCCCGGAAATCGGCTCTCTACCTGGCACTGGCACTGACACTTTGAGGTGGAAGCGTCCTGGCAACGCCCGCCTCCATTACCCCAACATGCCTTATCTCTGTCTCCTTCAGCTTCCCTCCCTCAGACTGTACGGTCCCCCCCCAAAAAGAAGCACCATCTATCTGTCTTGCGACCTATTACCTCTCTCCGTCATTAGCTGGCTCCTCGCATCCATCACCTACTTCATGTAGCGCCTGCGCCATCTGCGGCAGTCCAAATCAAGCAGCCAAGCGACCGAGTCATCCTCAATGAACTAACAGCACCAACCAGCACGTCAATCTCCTCCAGGCCCCTCCTCCTTCTTTCCCCTCCCTTCCGTCATTCCTTATCAAACCGCCCCGTACACCTCATGGAGCCGCCCGCCTCCCCGATAACGATAAGGTGAGCAACCCCCAGCCCACCCGACTCCACGTCCACTCCGCTCCAACGGCCAACACAACGCGAACCAACCAATCGTGAACCCACTTGCGGCACCCGACCCTGCTGCAGCAGGTGAGGTGACTTTCCTCGCTTCTCGCCTCCGCAGATCGGACCCAGTCCCGATGCCATTTGCCTTATCCGTACCTACCTGCCCACTGCCTACAATCACCCAAGGTGCCTTAGTGTGTTGTACCGCGTATGTAAGGTAGTGTGCACAATACGCTATTTCCTACCGACGGTTACGCAGCACCCGCCGCCCCCATCCAGCCGCCCCCATCAATACGGACGGCATGGTACTTCTAAGAGAGCCCGCCGATGAAGCTTACGATTCGGGGTAACCTTTCTTGGCAATGTTTCTCGTCACATGGCGCAAACGGTCTTCCAACATGACTTTCGAGGCCCGTCACATTCCCCATGTTAGCGTTGCGGATTCTTCTCGTCTGCGCTAGCACCACCATCACGAACACTGCCTGTTCAGACGGCATGTGCACTCCTGTGTGCGAGTGAAGTCTCTCTATTCTCTCTCGTGTCGTCTATTAGCCCATGGGGACGTTTCAGGTTTTGAACAAGTCCGCGCACAAAACTCTTGTTGAAACCATCCATAACAGCCCAAGTCTTCTGGTTTGGCCCCGTGAACTCCTCCCTCCCTCCCATGGACGCCTACAAACCACGCAAATCAAGATGCCGATGCTGATGTCGGTGCTTTACCACCCCTGCCACGTCCTCTGTGGCTCCGTCCTCGGGAGTTGTTGGACGCTGGCCCGCCCGCCGGTGGCTTCGGCGAACCAAGCGCCTCCGCGTTCCCAGCGCCGTCGCCTGAGGCCCCCGGCGGCCCGGCCCCTTTCCCCTTGCCTCCTCCCCGGCCTCGCCTGCCTCTTTTGCTGTCCTTCGAGCTCCTCTCGCCCTTGGCCTTCCCCTTGGCCTCTCGCCTGGCCTCTTCTTCCTGCACACGCCTCGTCTCCTGATCCCACCACTCCTGGAACTCCTGCTCCTGTTGAATCTCCTGCATTGACCTCTTCGCAACGGCCTCGCGCACAATCTCTTGCTCGCGCTTTTGTTGCCCGATAATGTCTGCCATACTCAGCCCCAAGGTGGGCTCCGCTTTGGGTGCTGGAGTGATGTACGATTTGGAGTGTGGAATGAGCGGCTTCGCGGGGGTTTGGCTCGAGGTGCCAGGGACGACTGGAGAGCTGCTGCCGCGAGACTGGCCCGGGAATCGCGTGTCGGGCGACGCTGCGCGTCTAGGGCTTGCCTTGTCTGGGGATTCCACTCCAAGTAAGGATGACTTGGCGGGAGGTGTCGGCTTCGGGGAGTCCTTGATCATGGTGTCTCTGAGAGACGTCTTGGGGCCGCTCTGCACCGACATCCACGGCGCCGTCTTGCCCGCGCCGGATTCTTTGTCCCACGCCACTTTGGGCTGTTGAGCATCGGCTTCCAGCACAGCCTGAGCTGCAGCTTGAGCCTGCTGCTGCTTTTTACGCTCCTTCTGCGACATCTTTGGTTGAACTGGTTTGGGCGAGGCTTCCTTGCTCTTCTGGGCGGCGATTCCAGCTGATAAAGCAGACTTTATTGGAGTCTCGGTCAAAACCTGTCGCAAGTCCATCCTTTCCATCTGAAATCCGGATGAAGCCCACGGATTACCAGACTTTGAAGCGTTGCTACCACCGATATCTTGAGGCGACCGCGAAGGGCTAACACCGAACTGTGCAGACCTGCCCAATGGAGGGCTGACAACCTGAAATTGGGGCGACCCGGCCACAGACTGTTGCTTGATATCTTTCCATGGCCCTGGGAGGGATGGTAGCTGCTCCAGCTCCGATCTCTTGTTCTTGGTACTTGCAGCTTGTTGCGAGGGCGACATGAGAGGGCTAGCCACGGACGGACTCTCCTCGTCCATATCGAACATCAGATCGGCATGGGATTCCTTAGGCCTCAAACTGGGACTGAAAGGTTCATTGCGACTGGCCTTTGACTTGCGCCGGCCTTTGTCAGCGCTGGGAGAGGCAAAGCCAACGCCGTCATCAAGACTTCCAAACTTTGTCTTGAACGAGGAGGAAATCTTCTTGTCGTCGTCTCTCTGCGTTGATTTGAATGCCATCTCTCGCACCCTGCGACGACGTTCTTCGTCAATGTCGAGAGCGAGGTCCGGATCCTTCTCAAACAGCAACAGCTCCGCCCGGCCACTTCTGGCAAAGGGGTACCGAGCAAGCTGGTTCTCCCGAACAATGTTGTCCAGGTCCTCCAATAGTTCTCCCTCCAAGTCATCCAGCAAATGGTTCTCGAGCATGGACTCCATCTGCAGGCAGATGTATTCCAGACCCGCATCCTTGAACTCCGTCACTGAGCAGGGGCTGATCTCGTTCAGTAGAAGGGCAATGTTACGAGTCGTAACGAAACGCGCAATAATGAATTGGCAGATCTGCGATAGCCGGTCCAGCATGAGCTCGTTCGCAGTGCTCATTACGCCCATGACCAGCTCGGAAAACTCATCGATGTTGACAGCGCTTGTTTCATCAAACAGCTCCTTCCCGACGTCTGCGTAGAGGTAACGCAGCACGTACTGAAATGCTTCTGGGTCGCAGTGGCTGAGGTCGACTCGTACCAGTTCTTCTTCGTCGAGTTCGGCACGTCGGCCTGCAAGCCACATGCCCCGAGCTCGGCCATGGAACAGTCCTTCAAAGAACTCGCATCGCTGGCGCATAAGTTGACTGTGGATTGGCACCTCCTCCCCGTCCAGCTCGATCAATGCATCGGCATCCTCGAAGTATCTCGGATCTTGGATTGCTTTGGCGAAGTCCTTGTCCAAAGACTTCTCGGCCGTCGTCTGTAGGCGCGCAGCTGCTTCTAGCTTCATCATATCCAGCTTCGTGGCCAGCTTCATCAGTTCGTTGCGAACCTGACGATACCTATGCGCTAAGGACGGCGCTTGACGTGTGTGGTTCCAAGCTGGAATGACGGTGTCATCATAGCAGTAAACAACTAGGTTTAGCAAAGATAGTACATCAATAGCGTCGAAGGTGATGATCGTTTTCCCGTCGTCTTCTCCAATCCGCAGAATTTGAGGTATTTCGCGATCGCCACCGTTTCGATACTCACTGAGTGCTTTTCGTAGAACGGGGCTCCTTGCGGTAAGAAGCCAGGCATGTACTGGCACCTTGATATCTGGACTCGAGGAAGTACGCAGTTCCAAATCAAATTCAGAGTCGGAAGCCATCGAAAGAAAGTGGCACAGATCGCGCTCCAGATCTGTGGATTTCAGAACCTCATACGGCAGCAACCCAATTCGGTATTTCAAGTCCTCTGATTTCCAGAACCCGAGCGTGTCCTTGTCACCGGGACCTGGCACTGAAGCTTCGAAATCGCGTAGAACAAGAAGAGACGCAATGTCTTCCCACAGCGACTGCTCGTTGACATTGACCTGCTCCTTCATCACATGGCAGTCTTTTCGAATTGCCGCGAAAGCGCCAAACGTAGAGCTCCTCACGGCGACAGCGTTTGTGACACTGGGTACTCTCTGGAATTTGAAGTCTTTCCTTTTGATGTCAGCCGATCCAGGGATTGCGGCGTCCTTCGCTTTGGTACGCTTGATACGCCTCCAGACTGCGCCGGATTCCGTGCAGATGATGACGGCGCCGTGCTCGCCTACGCTGACCGACTTGACGCCATCCTTCCGGGCGTTCCAGATGCACTGGGGCGTGGTGACTGCACCCTTGATCTTGGATGGGTTTGTTGTCGATGTTGCCGAAGGAGTCGCGTCCGCTTTGTGGTTCAGAGCCATGGTAAATAGGTCTCCCCTCGTAGTGACCGCGGCGATCGTCTCCCCTCCCGAGGTAATGCGGCTAACCTGATTTCTAGCCGAGTTGTACCGCGTCGACATGGATGTCGTGAACTGTTGGTTTACAAAGACCTCCGGGGACGGAAACTTGACGAAATTGTAGCCGTAGCTAGTGAAGACACAGACACTGCTGTCGGCTAAGAGACAAGTTGTCGCTTTGTCGATGGCCGATACAGCGACGATGGGGGAAGAAAAGAGAGAGGCAGCAACCTTTCGGGGGATTTGTTGGACTTCCAGGGACCTCGAGTCGGCGTCCATGAGAGCCAACTGACCAAGGTTTTTGCCCCAGCAGAACAGGGACGTGGATGTGTGTGCCACAGAGTGATAAGTTGAAGCTGCCACGCCGACGATGGCCTCTTTCTTGAGTGTCCCAAACACTTGTCGTGGGGTGGTGCTCATGGGCTCCTCGTCTTGTCTGACTGGCGGCGGTAAGCTGTATCCGAGCTGGGAGTTGCTATTGGAGCCCCAAGTCCAGAGCTCGCCTGCGTCGGTGACTGCCATGCTGTGATTCTGGCCAAGTGCCACTTGCACTACCTTCCTATCGGACAGACCTCCCTGGACAGGAACGAAGCGGAACTGCGTGTTTTCGTCGCCCAAACCGAGGCGCCCGCCGCGTCCAACGCCGCAGACGTATAGGTTGGAGGCTGGGTCGGTTGTGAGAATTGCCGTGTGCAACTTGGAAAGGATTGCATCTTGAATGCGCAAAGGCCGATTTCTGATTAGGGCCGGAATCTCCTCCATGTCCATTGCATCAACCGAGACGTTTGCCCCGTGATCAGCCTCATTCTTCGTCTTTGTGAGATATTCCTGATAAAATCTCCGCACAAGTTGGTCCGGTCGCTTGAGCGTAATTCTCTCAGGGAACTGGCGATCGTCTTCATCGCCTACACCGAGAGATAGGTTTCTATTGCTTCCAAAAACGAAGAGCTCTTCTCCATCGGTGGCACCGTCGAGTGCGGCAACGGATCTCATCAACGCTTGGCCTCCATCCGAGCTGCCGTCATCCGAGTCCATGTCTGAATCATCAGAATCTGTAGCATCCCCAATCGTTCTAATGGCAATGGTCGAGTTGTAGAGATCGAAGGGACTGTTGCCTTCGCGATCTTTCATCTTGATGAGCTGGCCAACCTTGGATACAGAGGTGCCCAGGGTCTGTTCCGTCAATATCTTGCGCTCTCGCTCGAGCAGCAGGCGCGCGATCGCTACATTTCCCGTGTACAGAGCCCTGTGAAGGGCATTCCAACCGCTTTCCGGGTCTTGCACATACAAGTCTATTGCGGGATGGTCGAGCAACGCCTGGATGAAGAGGATGGCGTCCGAGGTAGTCGATGAGGCGGCACGGAGGAGGACGGTAAGACCAGCATGGTCACGGCTGTTGATCTCGAGCCTACCCAAAGTCGAGTTCGAGTTCTTGGATGAGCCGGAGTTGATGCCTACGGCGGAAGACTTGCGAGTTTTGACATTGCGGGGAGAAGTCCCGTATCCTCCGGGACTGCCCCCCAGAGGCCCCGCGCCTATGCCCGGGCTCCTGGTCGCCGCCTGCGTCGAGTGAGCGGCCGGGGCCAGTAGACGCCGAAACCTTTCGACATCGTTTTCCCAGTAATATTTCCAAAGTAGATGACTCATGGGCAGGGGCAGGTAAGGAACCCTTCAAGCACTTGGATGGCACCTCGCTGTGAGTCTCTAGGATCACGGCTTGTTTAAAGGTGCAGTTCCGAGCGCGAGAAGAGCGGAATGTTGGAGAATCGAGAGGAAGAGGTCGGTATCGATCGATGGAAGAGCCCAGAAATTTGCGATGTCACGAAGCCCTAAAGGAGGATAGGGAGCGGTTTATCGATGTTGCCACCTGGCTGGTGAGGTTCTAGCTTGTTGAGGATTCGATGCAGCGTCGAGAGGAGATGCGATGTTTTTGATAGAATATTCGGTGTCGCGAGAGCAAGGGCTTCGATTCGGATGGTTGGGAAGATGGATTCGAACGACTGGGCGTGGTGATGTCGAGGGTTGAAGGCAGTGACAGTCGCGGGGGGTGGGGTTGGATGTCGAGGAAATTGAGGGCATTGTGAGTGACTGTTCAGCGAGTTGTGTGCGCGTCAGAACCACGAAGGGCGCCGCGCCGCGAATTCCCGGTCCCGCGGGTGCTTTCGTCTGGTGTCGCGCAGCCAATCGGACCCCCGTCCTCGAGCTTGTGCTCTGGTTGCAGGCCAGAGAAGCTTCACCCCAGGAGGTTAGCGTGCTGTACAGTTACATATCGAAGCCCTGGATGTGCTGAAGCAGCTGGACACATCCCGGTGCGAGGTGGGGTGAAGGTACCTAGGGTTTCGTGAAGACCGGTTCCAGTGGAGTCGCTGTACCTACTTGGACACAGGTGCCTGAGTAGGTATCTGTGTATCCGTACGGCTTTGGATCATCCGACTCAAACGGTGGTGGTGCTGCGGCCATGATGAAGAACGAGAACACGTGCTGCCTTAATAAGCCACATCATCTATCATGCGAAGAGACGAAAGTCGCTTGGTCCATCTGCAGTGCCTCGGTTGCAGCAGTTCTGCGGCAAGGTAGCTATGTGGATATACATAGTACGGTGTTTCTTCCTAAGAATTAGACGCTCGAAACATTTCGCGGATACCTGCCGGGTTGGCTTTGGGCAATCTATTCGTACATACGCGTACTGGCGGGAGACACAGACTGAGGTGGAAGACAGCGACATTGCCTGCCTTATCCGTGCCTTATCGGTAGGTCCACGGGTGCCTTGGGTACCTACCTTCTTCTGTGGGGAGCTACCCCCGCCAGCTCCTGTACCCCGCCTGCACCTTGCGCGGGCTTCTATCATGTTGAAGCGCCTGGATCGCATTCGGGCGGCCACATGCGCGCCTCTCATTTGCCTGCATTTCTTGCTGCTTTTGGCGTCTTGGGCTGGATGTAATGAACAGTCAGGGGCATGGGCCAGTAACAGTCGGGTTGGACCGAGTTGCCATTGCATCCGGCTTTGGGAAATTTGGCAACTAATGCCGATGTCCAGTTCTTTGTTAGAGCATGAGGTAAGATGCGAAAGATACCTTACCCCTAGATGTATTTAGGCATTTCATCCCGAACAGGAACGGCAGGAAGGAAAAGTAGATGAGTGCACCGCAACGGCTTTGTGAGATTGTTTGTTGAGCTGCCAGTTGGATTAGAGATTCTGAACCAGCCCCGAGCAACAAAACAGCTCCTCAAAATCATTGGAGCGGACTCGCACCACTGGCCCAGCCGCAGTTGCGTCGGAATTGTCGCCCGAATCTCGGCAATGGACGGCAGTCTGAGGAGGTGCATTGGATCTTGGTGCAGCCGCAAGCAAACATGGCCCGAGCCCTGGGGTCCCTGGGGGATCTATCTTTACCCCGGCAGGCCCAGGCGGGAGTCCCCCAAAAGCCAGAGCCGGACTATTGCAAATACGTAATCCCGTTAGCTTCTTCACCGAAATCCCGCCCTGTACACCGAGAGCAGGCCAATGAGAGACCTCTGATGTGTCAGGGCCGATGACCAAACGCTGTAATGCCCGTCCTGGTGAAGTCCGGCGCGGCTCGGTAACTTGCTGCAAAGCCGATAAGGGACGTCCGGCCCTTGCGATAAGACTCCAGTTCCCGCTAATTTCAACTGTCGTCGTTCGATTTTCGCTTCCTCCCAAACTCCCACCAACGCACCAAGCCCGCCCGTCCTCCTCTTTTTGCGCTTCTCGGTAGGTCCTAATTGCCAAATACCACCCCTTGCGCCCGCTGACCTGTCCTGTCACAAGTTTCTTCCGCCGCCAAAATGTCGACCGAAAAGCCTCTTCCCTTCGCATACCAGTTCGCCGCAGGTTCGTCCACGAAATCCCCGTCCCCACCCTCGCGATATCGGACCCCGACCACTGACCAATCCATATAGGCGCCATTGCCGGTGTCTCGGAGGTCAGTAAACCGCCAGATGAACCCCCAGCGATAAAGTGATGGAAGCGCTTACCCTTCATCATGTTTAGATTCTGGTTATGTGAGTCGAACAGCTTTGCGACAATCTCACGTGCCCCGCCGCTGACCATACTCAGGTACCCTTTGGACGTCGTGAAGACGAGAGTGTGAGCTTCGCCTGGTTGTCTGCTCAATCGCAACCCGACTGACCAGCCCAGGCAACTTCAAACCGGAACGGGCGGTGCCGACTCCTACAATGGCATGCTTGACTGCTTCCGCAAGATCATCAAGAATGAGGGGTACGCAGCCCGTCCCACCTAGCGCCCGGCGATGAACTCCAAAAGCTTACCATCGCGAAAACACAGCGCCTCGAGGCTATACCGTGGAATCACCGCCCCCATTCTCATGGAGGCTCCCAAGCGTGCCACCAAGTTTGCCGCCAACGACGAGTGGGGAAAGGTCTACCGCAAGATGTTCGGCGTCGACAAGATGAACCAGTCCCTGTCTGTTTTGACCGGTGCTAGCGCCGGTGCTACCGAGTCTTTCGTCGTCGTTCCCTTCGAGCTCGTCAAGATCCGTCTCCAGGACAAGGCTTCCGCCGGAAAGTACAACGGCATGCTTGATGTTGTCCGTAAGACCATCCAGGCTGAGGGTGTTTTGGCCATGTACAACGGTCTCGAGAGCACCATGTGGCGTCACGTTCTCTGGAACGCCGGCTACTTCGGCTGCATTTTCCAGGTTCGCCAGCTTCTCCCCAAGGCCGAGACCAAGACCGGCCAGGTCACCAACGATTTGATCTCCGGTGCTGTTGGCGGTACCGTCGGCACGATCCTCAACACCCCTATGGACGTCGTCAAGTCGAGAATTCAGAACAGCCCCAAGGTTGCCGGTCAGACGCCCAAGTACAACTGGGCCTGGCCTGCCGTCGGCACCGTTGCAAAGGAAGAGGGCTTCGCTGCCTTGTACAAGGGTTTCTTGCCCAAGGTCCTGCGTCTCGGTCCCGGAGGCGGTATCTTGCTCGTTGTTTTCACCGGTGTTATGGACTTCTTCCGCAACATGAAGGCGAACGCTTAAAAGCACTGGCAACAAATTATAGATGATTTAACAAAAGACAAGAGGACCTGGATTGTACATCTTATACAGGCAGATACCATCACCGGGGGCTTCGATTTATGGCGCTCAGCAATGCAAACTTCTGTTCGGCAAAGAACTCGGATTCTCAACAAATCAACGTGACAGCCCCCTTCATTCAATTTAAAGACGATCGCGCCTTCCTCGAGTTTGAACTCTTGAGGTAGCAGTTCACTGGTATTAACACATCTTTATCAGCACAAATTCAGTGCATTGTCAACGATCGTTCCGTCCATCATCCCAGCTTCTCTTTTGGTGACAGATATTAAGCAAACGCTCTCTATCGCTCCTGCTGCCTTCACGATTAAACGTACTTCCATGCGAGCTGCTTGTTTCTTTATCGCTCGCCCTCGCACTTGCTATCTCTTTCAACCACACATCTCACTCACCCTCGAAGACTTCTTACCACTGACGATTTACGCATACTTCTCTTCCCCATTTCGCAACTTCTCACGATACGCAGTATCAGGCGTCGTCTCGAGCGAACTTCAGTAGCAGCTTCCTTTTTCGCCGAGGCACCTCGGGCCTGGCTTCTCTGGAGGCTGGTATCTACTGCCTTTCGAGTGCTTATGATGCTCGCCAACCCAACTTCAACACATCCAGTCACTCGAATCGCCTAACACAACGTCAGCATAGCCTACGCACTCTTCTTCTCTATGGTCAACTGATCGTGGTCTTCCGCTAGGAAGGAGCTTCCCAACGAGGTGAGTGGACCTTCCAGATTCCGATGTCCCTGCCCACAACATTACCAGGCGAGCTCCTTTTCAACTATTTATACCTCTCCAAAAAGATGCGCTGAGAGCTTCACTCCTCCTCTTCTGCAACCCCAACCCGTCTGCTACGTTTCTCACGCCTTCACTCTTCTTTCCAAACACGCTGCCAGCATGTGCCATCACTAAACAAAAGCTAGAAGTCTTTCGGTCAGCACTTGACGCGTTGAAAATGTCCTCAACTCCTTCGAGTCAGGAAGGGTCGGCCCTTCCAGCTGAAGGGTTGGATTCTCCTGCCCAGATGCCACGCGACGATTCACCAAACAGTTCCTCTTCGCCTTACGCCATGAACACAGGATTGATGGAACTCTTGAAATACAACAATCAGCATCATTACGACTCAGACAAGGACGAAGTCGACTCCATAGATGGAGATGGCTCAGACGGTTCCACTCCGTCGCCTGTAACGCTCAAGCAAGCGAAGAGAGAAAAGAGCAGGAAACCGGCTCGGAAATCGCCTATTTCTCCAGAGAAGGTGCTATCAACTGATGAGTCTGACTCAGAAGATTCCGACTCAATCGGCGACCCGGTTGAGCTCGGCCGAGTAGACCAAGAAGAAGAAGGACCAGACGCGATGGACAGCGAAGGCGAGACTGAAGATGACGATGGGGCCTCGAATCACAATTTCGATGATAATGAGAACGAGTCGTTCCGGCGACCCTCCGTCGACCTTGATCGTGTCGCTTGCACCGATGACTGTCGACACCAGTTTCGAGCCGCCTTTGGTACCCTCGAACAGCAGGTATCTGATCTCCAGGATCAGATTCGCTCTCTGACTCTCCAAAGTGGCGAGAAGGATCGACAGATCGAGGGGAAGAATAAAGAGATCGAGAGACTCAAAGGAAAGCCCGTACACCGGCAGCGAAAGACGAAAAGGGTAAGTTGCTATTGTCTTGAACTTCTCTTCAAACTTGACTGCTGACATAGCACTGCAGACATGGCCCCATGAACTTCGGCGGCTTCAAGCAAACGATCCGGAAGCGATGGATTACAAGAAGATCTACAACCTCTGCTGTAGAGAGGAGAACATGAGCTCTCGGGTGGACCTGATCCATCCTAATCTACGACTGCGCCACCCAACAGCCAGAGACGTTCAAAAAGAGATCGAAACGGAGATGTCAACAGTACAGCTCGATATTGAATCGGATGACGGAAACGAATCAGACACGACAGTAGTCCGAGCTCGCAGCCTATCCGACGCGTCGGAGGAGTTGTTCGTTCGGGACAGTGAGTCCCTTGAAGGCATCGCGTCATTGTCCACAGAAAAGGAAGCTGAGAGTCCATCGACGATGTGCGGTTTCCCCTTCAAAAAGCTGCCATCTGAAGTTCGAGCCAAGATTCTCACGTTCGTTTTCGTTCAAGACCACAAGCTGATGCACTGCATCTCTCGTCTCGACCCCTTCTTGGCTCCAGATGAACCAGTCCAGCCAAGTTCAAGGAGAACAGGCCTCTTGAATCGATTCCACGTGTCTGGTTCTTCGTGCAGTGTTACGTACGCCATCAAGCCGAACGAGCATCTTGCTCTATTCTTGGTATGCAAGGAATGGTACTTCCTCGGCGCGCATGCATTTTACGGCCTCAACACCTTCGCGTTCTCAAGCATCGGTGAGTTTGCCCGCTTCTTTCGCGGTATCGGCAAAGCTCGTAGCCAGAGAATCCAACACGTCGAATTGCTGTGGATTGGCAATCAATACAGAACCTTACCATTTCAGCTGGAGGGCAAGAAGAAGAAATACACGTCTCGAAGGACTTGGGATTCTTCGTTGCTGTGTGATTTACCGCGACTGAAAAGCCTCACGATACACATTAACGAGACGGGCAGCCAATACATCCGCCGCAAGCATGAGCCCTCAACTGTCAAATATTTCATGGCGTCCAAGACCGCTGGCCAGCCCAATTTCCGCTTTGCAAGATCCCTAAGGACTCTGCAGGGAATTGACCACATTCACCAGCTTCGAGGCATGCAAGTCATCCGGTTTCTGGACTTCGAGAAACATCTCAAGCTCGGGGGCCGCCACGACATCCGTGATTGGACCTTTGGTAGAGACGTCGAGACAGTGACTACTCTTCCTAAGCCCCCTGCTGTCTCACAGGCCGCAGAGCTGCGGAATCTGACACCAATTTCGCGGGGATTTGTAGCTGAAGAAGGTCACTGGAAAGTGATCGAAGAGCTCTACAACACAAGTTCTGCGTTCGACACAGAAGGCTACCAAAAACCTGAGATTCGTTACGCCAGAGCTTGTCCACCTAGCACAGAGCACAGCTTGGGGAACACTGCTGAAGTCCCCGAGCACAAAACCGTCATTCGATCTCAGCAGACAGCCAGGCAAAAACGAAATGATGCTTCTGACACGGAAAGCACAAGAACCTTGAGCGACGCCGACTCAACTTCAAGAGCTACGGCTACGATTTCTCGGTCTATCACGACTGACTCACGGTTTTCTCGCGATGCTAGCGAACTTTCATCCGCCGGATCGAACTTTGGCAATCCTATTGATATTGACAGCTTCGAGCCGAGGAGGAGACTGCGCGAGAACTCCACGGCAAGTACAGGTCTTTTTGTAAGGCAGGAATCCTTTGACGGCCGCTCTGTCAGTCGCGGTGTGGCCCGACGGGCTTGGTCAAGCACCAGCCGCATTCCTTCCCCGACGCCATCAGTAGGTCGAGAACCGTCAGCAGGTCTCGATACAAGCGGGCTCTTCCTCCCATCGTACTCGCCGCCCCAACGCGGTCCTGCTTATCCCAGAGTACAAGTTCTCGGCGCACCCGATGGTGAGAATCCAAAGAAAAGACCATACGATGCAGAAGAAAACCACCAGAGCGGCCTAGACTGGAGCGTTCCCTGCCCAGCGTCTTCCCAAAGCGGCTCTCAACGCATCCGACCATCCAACACCAACCCATTCATCTCTTCCAATCCAGATGTCCATTTCGGTATGGGCAGAATGTCTTCCGAGTCTGAGACGGGCTTTTGCCCCTTCAGCAAGAAACAGGGCAATAAAAAACAGAAGCAAAACTAGCCAAAAACCGCTATTTTGGCATCAACAACTAACGTTCGCTCTTTCTTTCCGCTCATCTTTCTGCTTATTTCAGCACATATCGGATTTCACGACAAGTTTTGCTTTCAGGGACAATCAACCACGATGCCTGTTCTCTCAGCTTGATCTATTTTGGTTTTGCTTTTTTTCCCTTTTCGATTCGTTTTGACGCAGCGATTGCAGTTTACACAAGGCATACACACTTTAGGACGGAGCGTATTGCGATTTGGCACACCTCGACATGGAGTTACGGCAGACGTTCAAGGCACAAAGGTATGGAACATGTGCAGGTGGCCTGGCGCGAGTGGGCAAATGATCGACTGTGGGATCATCTCCTCACTTCATAGCCAGACAGACAGACGAATAGCGATTGGTTTCTTTTACTGCTGGTATCTCAAAAGGTGGCCTAAAACGTGATTTTTGTGCCCGTGAACGAAACCGTAGCTTGCGCCTCCTTGGCTTTCTTCCTCGCTTCCCAACTGGGGTGAAGTGGCCCCTCGTTATCCTTTTTAGGAGGCGGCTTCTTTTCGAAAGACTGAGATCTCTGGTCGTCTCTGCCTTGCCCCTGCCTGCCAAGAGGGTTAGACACACCCTTCTTCCAAGGCTTGCCGCTCTTGCCATCATCGGCCTCGACGGCTCCCTTCCTCATGTCCCAGCCGTCGTCCCGGCGCTTGCCATTCTGATGCTGCGACTGCTTCTTGACATGATTCGCCTTGGCTCCGTACTTCTTCTCCCAGATAGCCTGGCGCTGCTTCTGGCCCAAACGCTTCTTTGGGGGGGCGATGTCGATATCCGACGCCTCCGATTCGGAATTCGAGATGTAGCCGCCCATCAGCGAAGGCAGGAAGGTCGTCGCTCCGGGCTTGCCTGTCGGCTTCTTGGCCCTAGCCTCCTTCTTTCTGCGGCTTTCTGGCGGGGGTGACGGGGAGAGGGACACGTTGGCCGCGTTGATTCTTCTCTGCCGATCCGAGTCGTTGCCCTCGTCGTCGTCCCGATCCTCCGTCTCTTCGTCGTCCTCGTCGGGGTTGTTTTCGTCGTCTGCTGTGTCTCCGTCACCAACCTCACCGAGGAGCGCCTGGTACTTAGCCCTCAGATCCTCATCCCCGCTCTCTTCCTCGTCTGAGCCACCAAGCATGGC